CATCCTAATTATTCTATACAAATATTTTTTACTTCAAATTCAATTTTTGTGCAACTTTGAATAAGAAATAAAAAAATACTACACTGTAAAACTTATTCATTTTATTCATTAAAACATGACCCAAGTTGTTATTTTCAAAAATTTTGACAAGGGTTTCTACCACTTTCCTTAAGAAACCTCTCTACACTGAACACTAAAGAGTTACAATTCTGTTCTATTTATCTGCCCTTAGATTCAAATGCCAATAAATATACATTTACACTATATTACTCAGTTTATAATCAAATCAAGTATTCTTAACATTTTAAAAGGGCAAGATAGTTTAAATTCTAAATTATGAACATGTTGTTTACATGTATCTTCTCCATAGAAGTAAATAGCAATTATTTATACTGATACTGTGTTTTGTTTGAACATTTTTTTCTTGGGGTTAAATGCCATGTATCATGTATTGAAAATGAAATAGAGAAGCTTATTATTTACATCTTTATTCAATATAATTTTCGCAAAGTCCAAAAATCATTTTACACTGGTGTAGAGAGGATGTATGACCTATTACATGTACAAGTGTAACTGTTTTCATGATCCAATTGGTTCTTTTAATCATTTTTAGCTCTACTGGTCAAAGACCAGAAGAGCTTATGCGATAGTAATGTGTCCGTCGTCTGTTTGTCTGTCTGTATGTCCGTCCGTCTGTAAACAGTTTTTCAAAATACTACTCCTCCTACAGTTTTGGTCTGATTTCAATATAACTTGGCACACAAGTAAACAACACTAAGATAAATAATTCCGTGTATCTGTTTTTGTCATTATTCTATTGATTGCTTTTGTAAATGTCCCAACTGCTACTTTTCTCTTTCTTTATTATAAGTACAAACCAGTAGAGCTACAGTCTTGACAGAGATTTCTGGTTAACTTAAGTCTTGTATTATCTACCTGGTAAATTTAAATACTTGTATTGTCTATTACAGAACTCAAGAAGCCAGAGTTTTACATTAAGTCATGACCAGTCATGACATTCAGCAAATGAATGAGTATCTGATGAAAATTAGTGAGAGTTTTCAGAGAATGGGATATACCGTCGGGACACCTTAACTAAGCCTGCTGAATTATACTACAACAATATAATGAGTCAGACGAACATTGCTGTTATTCTTTCAAAGAACATCAAAGAAATAGTGAAGTCATACAGCATCTGAAGAAAATCCTAGTCTTGCCTAGTATTATACCTGAGGGAAGTTTTGACCACTTATCCTGAAGTTATTCATGCATAATAACATGGGTCCACTATGCACTACTATGAATACTAGTATGCTTCAAATAATTTAAAAAAAAATATTTTAATAATGTACATTCTTAAATAAAAGATAAAAAGTGTATAAACAGTAGTTTCATTGCATGTAAAATGATAATTTCATCCTTTGTTACAATTATTGAATTTTTATAAAATTGACAAAAAAATTAAAGAAATCTATGTCAAAAGTGTCTATTATTATTTTCAAGGCTTAAGGATAACGTTTACTTGGATAACAAAAATATTAACTGATAAAAGTGAAAAAAACCACCTATTGTACATCTATGTAATTATTCACTTAAGTATGTCATTGCCCTACTCTTCCTGCTAATGGCTCTTGGGTATTTCATAGAAAATATATAATTATTTTTCACAATATGACTAACATTTGCCCCCCCCCCTAATATTTTCCCAATATATAGAATTCTATAATAAACATAGCTACTCTATGCTTGTGCCCCCTCAGAAAATACGTCTAATGATCTTTTGTCCTTACATTCTATATTTTTAAAATTTTTTAGAAATTTTTGGTAGTTTTCATTGAAAATGTATGGTTGTGCCCCCCCCCCCCCTTCCAACTGAAATTGCCTCTTACGAGCCTGCAATCAAGTTGAAAATTTGAATGACAGGAACTCTTATTACTTACATGTATGGCCTAATTTTACTTTTGTTGTCCTTATTCTGCTGGAATTATAATTTTATGAGCTCAATAATCAAATTATTTAGATATGTTGCTGTGAATGGTTTGTGTTCAACAGTATACATACATATTTTTGAAATTCTTCATTGTGTATCAATCAATTACAAGTATATGAAATAATGTTTGAGCTTTAAAATAAATTGATAATTGAAAAAGTTATTTTAAAAAAAAATAATTAGCCCGAACTTTCTCTGCAAACCATAATCTTTTATATTTTCTTTGAAAAAATAATAATAAATAATAATCTTTTAATTTTCAGATTTATTTTCAGTTATCAATTGTTTATTTAGTCCATTTAAACCATTTTGGATTAAACATGTTGTACTTTATAACATTCTGTTTCTGTAATCAGAAATCCTGACTTAAGATCATCCAGTCAATTCCTGAAAATGTGGAGAAGCAATTATACTACATGTATATATTCTTCAATTAACTTTGAACTCTTGACCTTAGCCTTACGTTGTGATAGAGTTAATAAATGAACTTTTCATTGACTCTTTTTTTCAGCTAAATTTGTAACAAATACGTTTAATAGCTGAAGAAGATAAAATTTGAGTCATAGAACAGGTGTCATTAATCCCCAGCCTTTTCCTAATTAAAAAAAGGGGGGGGGGGTAAAATGAAATATCTGTGTATTAATTTTATATCTTCAGTATATCTACATTTCATTTAAAGAATTGATTAGTACATTGTAGCATGATTAATATACACGTCAGTATTGTTTAAATTAAGCCACAAAGTGATTTTGAACCGATAAAAACATGAAATGAAAAAAAATCCCATGAGCCCTGTTAACGACTGCTATGTTGCTATCCGCCCCTAAAATGATACATTTTCATTCATTTTTATCATTTAATTCTCTGTTAAGGTTGTTTAACATAAACAATGTCCTCAAAAGAGAAAAACAATCTCTACAAAATATACCATATACAATGTATAACACAGTTTTCCAATCCATATCTGAGGAAATTCGGGATTATGGGTCCTCTTCATTTTGATATTTCCCGAGTTATCTGAAAAACACATGTTTGGAATTTATATGAAATGAAAGACTATAGTATAGATATTTGGAATAAACAAGAAGTTTAAAAAACCTATCTTGGAATTTAAAGATAAATGTAATTGAAATAGAGGGTAAAATGGATTTTTCTGCATTTTGAAAAAATCATGAAATTTGATATTTTTAGCCTTCTATCAGCTTGAAACGCCTCAGGCAAAAGATTTAATTCTTAATTAGTTTAATTATATAAGAATGCATTAAATAAATTATATAATTGACAGTGGTCATATTTTTCGTGTTTATAGGAAATTTTGGGGTTACAAATGCTATATTTTATGAAATAGAACCTGTCAAAATGGCCATATTTGTGTTAGTTACGGTTGCCATGGCAACGGACACCCCGAAACATGAACTGAGATGGTTTTCTCAGTTAGACACCTGAGTACACTCTAAATACAAAAAATTACGTATTTCGGAGACATTCGTTTTTACGGCCTCCTTGGATTCTTTGGTTTTTACAGAGAATGACTCTTAATATGTATTTTCTTAATTGCAGCTAATATTGATTTGTACAATATTTGAATGCTCCGCAGTATTTTGTATATTTGCTTTTAGATAAAATTTTGTTTCTGCTTACAGCAATACTGGACAAAGTATGCACAAAACTCAAGTACTGGTCAGGAAAGAAAAGCATAGCGAACATGAATTACGAAACCTCTGAAATCAGAAAACCAGGTCCAAAGAGGAAGTCGACAAGGTTCCATGAGTTTTTATTAACACTTCTCAGACTAAGACTTTCTGTTCCCTCCTTTTTGATTGGTGATTTGTTTGGTGTATCCGAGACACGAGTATCACAAATAGTGTGTACATGGATAAACTATATGTTCCAGGTTTTTAAACCTCAACTAAAATGGCCATCACTACAGAGTATCAGAAAACATATGCCAAGGTCTTTCAAACAGACATTTCCTCATACAAGAGTCGTCATAGACTGTACTGAAATATTCATTCAAAAGCCAAGGACACCTACTGCTCAAAGCCAAACATACAGCAATTACAAAGGACATAATACCTTTAAATGCCTTGTTGGTATAACTCCTACCGGTGCGTTTTCTTATGAATCTGAATTGTGGGGTGGCAATGTGTCTGACAGGTACATTACAGCCAATAGTGATTTCTTGGATTTGATATCTGCTGGAGATGAGGTGATGGCTGATCGGGGTTTCATCATCAGAGACTATCTATTGGAGCGAAAGGCAAAGTTGGTCATACCACCATTTACACATAAATGTGGATGGGGAAAAGGAAAACGGTTAAATGCGAGTGAGATTCGGAGAACAAGACAGATAGCGAAACTACGGATTCATGTGGAACGTGCTATACAACGTTTGAAATCATATAAACTGTTATCTGGCATTTTACCAATCAACTTAAAGCCAATTGCAAGCCAGATTCTTGTTGTTGCTGCATTTCTATGCAATTTGTCAAAACCTCTTGTGAAAAATTAACAAGATGCTTCATATTTGACATTTTTTTAATTTGTTAATTTGATTTTTGGTGTTACCTAAAAAATATAGAAGTTGTTTTTACATTTACTGTTTTATTATTGTTGATTTAACAATGTTCAATATTATACATAAAATACTTAACTGCATTTCATTTTTCATATTCATGTAATATAAGTCAACAACATAGAAGTATGAGTGAGTTGTTCTTATTGCTATTCAGATGTCTTAATCTCAATCATTAGACAAAACACAATACAGTGTATCATACAAGATGCGATGTAATCTAGTACAGACTACAGGGCATCAAATTACAGCAGAGAATTTATATTCTACATTTTAGCAAGCAGTGCAGGATGAACATAATTTGTGAAAAAGGTGCTGCACTTGTAAACAATTTCATTGAAGAAAGATTCATCATAATAAATTCTATCACTGATAAAACCCATGTCTGTATAAAAAAAAAAGTCACACCACCTAGCATTACAAATCCCAAGCTGTCCTTGAATCTGCACATACCATGGTGAATCTGCTCTAAGTTTGACAACATCATTAGTGTCTCTATACAAATGATAATGACGGTCACCTGCTACATCATACGGTGTTTCATTTCTGTGGGAGTAGGAGCATTTTACCTCAATTAAACCTTTCCCACAACATTTGCTTGACAAATATGCATCTGGTGATGCACCTAAAAATGGATGTTGCTGAGATATGTTTAAGCCACAAGGTCTCATTTTTGCATTTACATGATCACGAGCATACATGTCAAAAAACAATTGTTTAGCTACAATTTCATTCTGTCTTCCATACCTTACTGCATCTGTGTTTAAGGCATTGGAGTTATCATTTAGAATTTCACGTGTGATGTAATTATCATGACTCCCCCCTCTAAAATGGCATACTTTTGAAAACAAGGAAGATGTTATTCTACCATACCTGTATTTGTACCATAATTCATTTTCACTTTGACCACAAGTGATCTGCTCAACTTCCTGAATAATATCAGAGTTATACACATTTCTTAAATAACCTATCAAGGATTCTCCAGTCTGAATTGTGTGCGTCAAAGCAGCTACCATATCAGGCGGATCTTCATGAAGATCTTCCTCCTCATCTGAATGGGGGTCTAATGTGTGTAATAGAAGAGCATCCGTACCTTTACACATTGTATACAGTTCTTTTTCGACTTCTCTGTTAATGTCACTGGTAAGAGTAGGGCATGGCTGGTAGTCCTCTTTGGTATGAGTGGAACTTTCCTGTGGGAGATGCAAATTTCCTTAACGCGACAAGGCTTGCTTTCCTTACGGGGCTTGTCCCAAACACACTTCACATCGGTTCCCACCTCTGTATGCCTGTCCTTATGGCGGTCGCAAAAAGCTGCAAGAGCAAATGACAGGGCTGTGCAGTGCTTGCAAGAACCATCATCCCTAAAAGACAAAAAGTAGCATGTTAATAATTGCTCGAATTTAGGGATTGGTATAATGTAAATCATAAATACTATTACTGTAATTACATCTAGTATAAAAGCACAAAACTGGACTTACGCAACACAGGAGCAGCCACCTGATATGATATAGCCATCAGCGTTTACCAGTAGCCATGTCCTGTAAGGGTACTCAGATTGAAGGGTTTCTGGCATCGTGTTACACATAATATAAGAATATTCTGAATCCAATAAGCACACTCGAACACTGTCAACATGATTGTTCTGATATAATAGATAGCCCCTGTCTTCTTTGTACAAATGAAGGCGATTCTGATCCCAACCAATGTTAATCAAATGCACAAAAACATCGGCAATGTCTATATCTGGAACATTCTTTAGATCTCCATTCCAATCACATAATTTAACCTGAAAATGTTGTAATACTCCAAATAAAATTCTGGATATTATAAAATCTCATTACATATATTTCATGTTGGCAAGGTTCATGCCTCTCTTACCCTCTAATTTGCTGTAACTTTATATTTATTTAATTTACTTATTGTTGTATATGATATAAATTTGAGATAAATATGATTATCCCCATAAAAAACTGACTTAAATTGTACCTCGCTTATGCTGGGCAAGATGAGGTCTCCGAACGTTCTACGACGAACATCCATATCCACGTAATCATCTTTAGTTTCTATATCTTCTAGGTCTATTTCTCTTGCCAGTTCACACAGTTTTATCAAATGAGCTTTTCTGTACATGGATGTCGTTATGCCTTTCGTACTTAAGTAATGTTTTAACGCTGGGACTTGATAACTATTGAAGTCTTCCATATTTGTTTACACCGTTGCGTTGGAATGCGGAAGTGAACTATGCCCTACAATTACGTCTGGCGAGCGATAATATCCGAAGCGGATCCGTAACTCGAAAGTTCCGTATTAACAATCGCTCTAAACAAAGGCTATACCTTGGTATTAATTGACTATTTAAAATCTGTAAATAATATTCCGTTTAATAGTAAAACTTATTTTTCGTTGTTTAACAATTTCTCAATTTGCCTCTCACAGCACATGAAGTACGTCATTTTTACCAGTATGACGTCATGTTTACAAGTGAATCGCAATGACTGCATAGTTTTTAACCAGCTACATGGGATTTTACTAGCAACTTTTTTAATGCATTGATAAGTTATCATGTTGTTTATTATACTAATACTGTTAAACATTTCCACGTGTTATGAGAAGTACATTAATGTCATATTTTCGTGTGACATCATAGTATACTTTTCCCGTACAAATTAGGCCCCGCCCCCTTATTCAAGCCTTAACAATGCTGTGTATGTCATGTAGACATACTTTCGACATTTTTTGGCTATATTTAAGTATCTCTGGTACTTTCTGGCTTAGAATCATCAAACTTTGTCAGTTAATGTATCTTGGGTTTTCAGAGAATGTCAACCAAAAAGTAGGTCACGGTGACCTACTTTCGACATTTTATGGCTATATTTAAGTATCTTAGGTATTTATTGGCTTAATTAGAATAATCAAACTGTGTCAGTTGATGCATTTTGGGTTTTCCAGAAATGTAGACCAAGAAGTAGTCCTAATTGGCTAAGAATCATCAGACTTTGTCAGTTGATGCAACTTTGGTCTTAGGATACTTAGGGTTAGAGGCTTCAAATACGAGTGATATAGGTTGTACAATTTATCAGAAGAGCGATTCAAGGCCCTTGGGCCTCTTGTTTCTTTTTTTCTGCTGTTTAAAATTTCTTAAGATGACGATGTCATTTCCTCTGGAAAATAAGTGGCAGTTTTATTTAATTTCTTTGCTTGTGCACTCTTCGTATATGCTTCTCTTCGGGCTCCATACGTTTGTCTCAAACAAGTTACCATGAGATATAAAAACTGATTTGTGTTTAATAATTTACTCTTATTTTCACAGTATTTGATTTTACCCCCACCCAATGTATAAAACAAATTAAAAAAAATACGAAAAATACAAGAGACAATGCCTATTCTAAAATTTCATTACACCCCCCTTCCCGAATGTTGAAAAAAACAAAAAGAGGTATTTACGTACCGGGAATATAAGTATACTTTTTAGCAACTCGTGTATCATAAGCAACCAATTGCTTTGTTTTGCGTGAGAAATGGACGACAGGGACGCTGGTTCCATATCTTGCTGGCTGAATCTCTATGTCCAGATGGTGGTTATAATCGAAAACAGCAAGCTGGTCCTTCATGATGTAGGAGTCAAATACAAATGAAACTTATTTAGGGCAGTAGTGTAGGAGAGTATAGGAATAGAAATTTTCGATTGCCCAAGTTTGCTAATTAGGTTTTTGCCCGAGCGGTGGGAAATTATCACCGAGTTCGGAGGCCGGGTGTACTACCGGCCACACGTCCGACTCGTTCCCCCATCGTGCTGTAACTATTTCTACTTTAAAAAGTTTGGAGGCTATGGCCATATCCAACTGGTTATTGTTTATTGTTGTTCCATGTTAGTCATTTCAATCGTTGGGACTTAATAATAAATCCAGAAACCATTCTTATTCCTCGTTACTTTGGACTTTTATATGTGTCATCGGGAAGAGTCCTTAGAATACGGCTCTACTACTTCCGGCCAACGACGCCACTGACTTCCCCTGCATTCCCTCTGGCCAACACATCTTACCCAAACTACGCGGCTATAAATGGTGGAGTATGGTCGAGGCTGGTTGTTGCCCTGGTCACCGCAGACCTGGATGGCGTTGATTTTCGATTTAAGAATGTTTTTAGCATGGCACACAGACTGTTAATGCTGCTTTCAGTATTCGTACTGAGGGGCATGTTCACGCGATTCACCAGGTTTCAATGGATATTGCTTTTCTCAGTTCTTGGAAGCTTTTAGTCTCCCTGGCTAGAACTTTTTCAAGAATAAGTTGACTTAGGCCGTTTATGTGTTGTTTTTCTTTACTGTGTCCTAGTCTAGTTCTTTCTGCTCTCTCTCTATCTACGCATCTGTAGTTTCATCGATTTCTTGTCTTAATCCCATGATTGGAATACTGTTTGCCACCGGTTGAAACCTTTCCTTCACATTGTCTTTAGAGATGGTTAGTGAAGCATGTGGGGGTTGGGTAGGGAACCAAGTGCTGGTACTTCCATCGAGAGCACACGATACTAAAGTTAACATTTTTGCATCGCTATAGTAATTGAAGTTTTGCTATGCTTCCAGCTTGGCAATCCATATCAATGGTGATTCACTTCCATTGAACCTTGGGAGCGAAAGTCCTGTTGCCATGTTTTTTTGTTAAGGGTTGATGGTACTTGATGAATGACAGAGGGGGGTTCCGTGTCCTTGGTCTGTAGAGGCAAACTCTCTTCTGGTGTTACAAGGGGGAGTGGTTGATTTGTCCCTGTACGATTGTATTTGGAGTATTTAAGAATTGTTCCAGAATGTCACTATATGAGAGTTCAAAGTTGGGGTCGTTGTCACTCACTTGTTGTGGGTTGTTGTTGTAAGGGTAAGATGTCGCCAGATGACGTCTCGGAATTGTTGTTTGTTGTTATAATCAAATCAGTTGAATCAAGTAATTGATTGTCACAATTTGGGGCGAGTTGATAATTCGAAGTTTTCCTCTTTGGGTAAATGTGATATATTTATGGTGTTGTCTGTAGATGCCGAAGCTCCTAATTGTTGATTGATATCATCACTGTTGGTGATTGAAGCTTCCTGTTGTTGTTTAGCTATTTCCTCTGCCTTGGCTGACCGTTCAGTCGGTAGAGCGCTCGCTCCGTGATCGGGAGGTCGTGAGTTCGTATCTCGACCGCGACTGTCCTAGTCGTTAAAATGGGTAGCAGCTTTCTATAATCCGGTCTTATAACCTGTAACTCGGTGTAAAAACATCACCAGTACTAACGAGTTAATTCCTATTTAATAAGGTTTATATTTCAAGAATACTATAAGCGCACCATGTATAATCCAGATTTCACCTAAATTTGCCAATGAAACTATTCCAGTTATTAACCATAAAATCACCAGTTTAAATTAACAAATGATCCAAAAATATACCAATTCACGGTCAGCTCTTAGTTGGGCCTCTGACATCTTAGGGATTCTAGAAGAACCAAAGTCTAATGGTCTTTGTTACAGTTTTAAATGCGGAAGCTGCAATCAAAGTACTTATCCCACCAGGAGGTCCCATATTTCCATTTAGCCTGATTACTAAGATTCGGGCTGACCAATACACAGATCTTATCAATGCAACTTTGTGTAAAGCTAGGATTATATTCCATCTTAGAATTAAGATTGTTTTACTTATTTAATGTCTAACAAGATTAATTATAAACTTTTAAAATATTACCTAAGAATTATATGACTGTATAGCAATATTGATAGACCGGAGAGCTACAGTGCCAGATTAAATTATAATCATACTAAATCTGTATTTGGGGTAACATTTTGAAAGTATTTTACAGAAATTTCTATCTTTAGTAACCAAAGCAATAATGTTCATCGAAATCAAAAACCGATACACAGAATTATGTATCTTAGTGTAGTCTACTTGTATGCCAAGTTATACTGAAATCAGTAGGAGGAGTAGCATTTTGAAAAAAAAAATGTTTACAGACAGATAGTCGGACGGACGCCGGACGCATTATTATCGCATAAGCTCTTCCGGTCTCTGACCAGTAGAGCTAAAAATAAGCTTGTATTAATCAAACCATAGTGTTTGAAAATTTGCAATTAGGCTAAATATTCAATTTCTAATTACAGTGCATGCGTTACAAATAAATCGATATAACAGTTGGAATTGTCTTGCTATAAATCCTAACGTAGAAGAATCAAAGCAGTTTCTGGTTTCTCTAAATAGGACCGGTGTGCTTGTTTATATCTATATCAGGTACATAGCAGGGCTGCCCCTTTTTAAAAATTACTTTTTTAACTATAGGAATTGTTCATTGAAAGGCCGCCCACCCCGCCCCTTCCCCCCACAACTTTTTGTAAGAGTTCCCCCCTATTTACGAAATAGGATTTTCGAGTTTGGGCAATTTCCTTTTTTTCTAGTTTAGTCTTTTTCATGCATGTTAAATTCCCCCCCCCCCCCACTTAAAAAAAACACTGCTAAATCACGGTATGCACTGTGCTTTACACTTTTGATGTATCAATTTTTAGTGAAAAATCCTTTTATGTAAATAAATATATTTCATAATTATTCAATAATTTCCGCTCGATGGATTGATATCTATTCGGAATCCTAGTAGTATTGTCTACGGACATCTGATGGTTCTCTTATTTTTAGCCGGGCTCATTTCTCGAAGAGCAATGCCCGGCTATTGCGACGGTGAGCAACGGAAAATGCTGTCTCTTCACCGCCATATTGAGTTTACGAGTAAAAACATAGTACGTACGCCCAGCCGCTGTTCAAAAAACAAAATCCATTCAAACACCTCAAGAAATAGTAAATCGGATATTTTTATCAAAATATTATATTCTTTGATATTTTTCCTGGCTCCTTTGACTAATATTTTACAAAGCAATTCTAAAGGTTTTCACACGGTCCCTCTGTCTGCATTCCACAGGTCACATGCTTTCACGTTTGTTGACATGCAGCTTTATTTTGGTATTTTGAATAGATGAAATGCTGAATAAAAAAAATGTAGCATGAACTATGCAACGGAAATATGTTTTTAAGATGGCAGTAACTGTTGAATCATTTACACTTCTCTACGGCTCACATACTTGCACTGAGAGAGAAACAAACGACAACTCTGCATGAGAGATTGGAAAACGTTTCGGCAATACTCGGCTGAATCTGCTGCGCTCCATTCAAATGCGAGGTGGTACGAGCCATCTGACGGAAAAGGCCGAGTGAAGTTCCGATTGCAACCTCGGGGATATTTCCCGCGCGCTTAACCTGTTTTTGAAGTACAATACGCA